AATTTGTCGTTTTACAAAACAATACTTAGATAAAACGGAGTTAAGTTTAGGAGTTGGAGGTTTTTACTTTTTACGTCATAACTTGCTACAAAATCTTGCACACTGTGACGTCACACGATATTTCAAATTAATATATCGTCGAAAGTATTTAATTTTGTGAGAAAAGAAAAAATACGTGTCTAAAGTTTTAAATTAATGTACCAGACGGACATTACAATAAAATTTAATAAACTACCCTATTGGCCCAAAGTTTATTATTTTTTATTATAATATTTTTTTTTTATTACTTTACAACATTGGGACCAATGAATGACTAATTTCTTAAGCTCAATGTTAGTTATGTATGTTGCCAAATTATTTAAGACAAAAGTAACCTACTAAAATTTCAAATATAAGAGAAACATCATAACTACGTGCAATTAAAAATAAACGTTATAATTTGACGACTATTAACACAGTTTGGTGTCAAGATGAGATGAAAGGGATACTTATGATAGACATGTTATTAAAATAAGGGATGAAATGAAAAAGGTAGTTTTATAAACTGCCTGCCTTTATAGACTGCCTCATTGACCAAGTGGTCGCAAGTGCGACTGCTGGGCAAGGGGTCTCGCGTTCGATTCCCGGGTCGGGCAAAGTATTACTGGGTTTGTAAAAACCTCAGTAGTAGCACGGAGTCTGGAAATGTGCCCGGTATATGGCAATAGGCTCACCCCCTATTACATGGGACTCATAATATAAATAGTGAAAAGTGGGTGTTACATTGTACAGTGTCATTAAGTGCTGTAATGTTCACCTCTGCCTACTCCTTCGGGGATAAAAGGCGTGATGTTATGTTAGTTTTATAAACCTTGGATTTAAACATTAGTCCAAAATCAAACCCAAGAGTTCAGAAACAAAGCCAAGAGTGACATTTATGTTAATCCATTTTATAGTACACAAAGGAGGCCAGCAGTGAATTTTTACTGAGTAACATGGCAATGAACAACAACAACATCAACAGCCTATAAGTGCCCACTGCTGAACAAAGGCCATTTCTCACACGGAGATGGTTTGAGCATTAATCACCACGCTTGCTCAATGCGATGTTTTCCTTCACAGTTTGTCAGTGGTGTTTAAATAATCTTAGAAAGTACTTACATATAACTCGGAAAAAGGCAATTATGACGATGCAGATGATGGCAAAAACCCTAAGATCTCTAAACTCCAAGATTTATATTACTATTATGTTATAAAATAAACGCTGATAGCATTAAAATAGAATTCAAATTACTTCACCCTAAACGCCTTTATACTTCATCTTAAACAACAATAAAAATAATATAAAAGAACTATTATACCTACAAAAAAAGACCAGACACTTAATCTATGTACATTCGACAATTGAATTCAAATCGTGCTTTATGAGCCGACCTCTCATTGGTCAGTGGTTAACCAATAGAAACGTTTGCATTCATAGAGCTAAAGCGCATGCGCTGGTAATGTCAAATAGGGGAGTTTACTTTTTTTAGAGTAAAGCTTATTGATGCTTTTTCTGTTTGGCTGTAGAATTAAATATTTCCTTTTATTAGAGTGAGCATCAAAAGGCATACTGATTATCTTTCAATTACGATTTAGACTTTGCAATAGCTTTTATTTCCTAATGGAGATTAAAGTTGAAAAGTTGATATAGAAGTGGGATTAACTGTTTATTTTGTCTTAAAAAAGAATGATACTTTTAAGAAATAAGAAAAATCCGAAAAGAAATATAGAGACAATAAGGCCGAAATCCAAAAAATAATAATTGACACTAACTATACCAAAAAATTAACAACTTTTTAACACGGATAAAAAAATTGAGATCGACATCAAATTAACAATATAAATGACATTTATAATGATAGCATATCAATCACCCAACGATGTTCGGAACGTTGCAAAGAATCGCGCATGACATTGCACTCCTGCGCATACACCTACTTGTCAAATTTGACATTTGGAATTAAGACGTTTCGTTGACGGTTAAAAAGTGTACGGAACCCGTTATTACGTTCGCACGTTACGTTTCTTTTAATTATACACCCGTGTGTCTTAATAAAATAGTTATAATCACCTTTTTTTAGTGTTTTTTTGGAAAATTATGGGTGTTCTAGATAGCTTTTTTCATAGAGGTAGCTGTATTTGAAAGATCTTATGACATGCTTCACCATATAGTATAAAACAAAGCATTCGCCGTCTGTCTGTCCCTATGTATGCTTAGATTTTTAAAACCACACAAAAGAATTTGATGCGGTGTTTTTTAATACATAGAGTGATTCTCAAGGAAATTTTATACCTATAATACATGCATATTACACCCGTGCGATATAAATAATTTGAAATATTGAAGTAAAAGATATTTAAATTAAGCATGACTTGACCTATCCTATATAAGTCCGGCAAACTTATTACTCTTTTCGCCTGATACGTCAGTAGCCTTATGATGCTATGTGCTCTATAAGTGTGATTTATATCATTATTTTGATTTATACTAGGTAAGTGCAACGTTGCCCCAAACTAGTATTTTCTCCTGTGTCGTGGGTGCGTTTACAAACATACAAGTTCACATACACATGACAACTAGACCCGGAACAACAATCTGTGGATTACACAAAGAGTTGTTCCGTGCAGGAATCGAACCCGCGACACGTTACGCGGCACTCAATTGCCCAGCCATCGCGCCAACCGTGAAGTCTAGTTTTCATTTAGAGCTCCCGCTTATTTTCGCCTATTAATTTCATACTTCATACTATTTAGGAGAATCTGTTTCATATATTCAATCTCCTGCCCTGACATAGAACTTAAGATCTCTTGCTTACCAATTGTGCTTTTAACTACTTCACCAGCGACGCTGTTACACCAACATACAAATAAAAAAACATACAAACTGATAAAAACAATTGCCCTATTTCTGTTAAAAAACAATGTCTTCCACCGGACACCGTTTCACTGACCCCTCTCCACCAACCTCCTCGTTTCTATCTCCAAGACCCAAGGTTCAAAATTGCATACGTTTTTCGGTTGCAAAGTTTATTTTAGGCTGGTTTTTGTAACATCTGCCCTGTTTTGCATAGAGTGGATGTTGACTGATTGTCCTGTCACTCTTGCTGTGACACCATCGATAGACTGGTTAAGGATTCCATGGGGAATAAAATTACTGGGGAAATAGGTTAGGAGTTTGAATTCAGAATTATACGGCGAGTAGAAATCATATTATCACATCAACAGCTTCTAAGTGGCCACTGTTGACCAAAGGCCTCTTTGCACACGGAAAAAGTTTAAGCATTAATCACCACCCTTACACAATGCGGAGTGGCGATTTCAAACTTATAATGTTGAATTATAGGCATAGGTTTCCTCGCGATGTTTTCCTTCGTCGTTTGTCAGTGGTTTCCTTAGATTAAACTGTCAAACACCAAGCGGTCACCGGTGACCGCAACCGATTGTTCTATAATTGTGTCTATAATGACGGTACTCGACGAGTTAATAGGCGTTATAATTCTATGGTGGTATCTAGATAATCTTAGAAAATACATATCACATTGGTACTTGTTGTTGGTAGTTTGGAACTCTCATTCTTATGCATTAGACGCGGGTTTTAAACCTCCGAGGAATAATGATATACCTAAGTTTAATGTATGGTAAAGATGTAATGATACTCACTACAGGACCGCTTTCATTGAAGCTCGTGTCTTGGCTTGCGTGGTATATTTTTATATGGCTTTTACCTATACGGCCTAATTTGACCTCCGCTAACGATGCACAACGCAAGCATTGTTTCGTTGGTTTCTGTGAGGCCGTGGTATCACTCCGGTCAAGCCGGCCCATTCGTGCCGAAGCATGGCTCTCCCACAAGTCTTACAATTGCATAATATTCGATGAAAGTAACAATTAAATGGAGATTTAAAGTTAATATAGGTAATGGCTAGGCTGGAGTTTTTATAAGTGAGGCAAGTAATTAGGAACTTAAAGATGGTCAAGACTGATTGGTATTGTGAACCTGATTGAAAAAGAGTATCTAACGAATGGAGTTTCATGCTCGTTCTTCTCCATAGGAATCTACACCTTAGAATGAGCAAATAGCTTCACTTTTAATTTTTTGTTAACGTTCAAAAGTGCCTTTCTGGTCTAATTGAAATAAATGATTTTGACTTTGACTTACCAATTTAGCATTTACCTATACCTGTCCTTTTCAGGAAATTAGTCAGCATGATTACTATATTGATTTATTAATCAATGTGACTTGTTAAAAGTAATTTTGTGTACTTAATCATTTTATAGGAAACATGTGATTGATGTTTTTTTTTGTATCTTTTCATTTAACATAGGTACTTCAATACCCAAGTGGTATGTGTATGAAGAAAATATTGCAAAATGTCGATTAGATTCAGTTATACTAATGTTTAAAATTATGACTATACATTACCATATGAGAATGTGTGTGTAAGAAAATAATCAGGTATTTTTTGAAAGGAAGAAAACGACAATATTTTTTTAAACATACTTGTATATTTACACATTGGAAAATCATTTCGAAGCTACTTAGAACTACGTAAACAATCTAAAATCTAATAAACATTATTTTTTTTCTTTTTAATTGATTCTCGTCTTTATGATTAATACAGAAGTGACAAAATACAATGTAAATATGCAGGGATAACTAAATTATATATACAATGGTGCCTTAATGATGGTAACCAGAACAATACAGAATCAATAAGATTATTAAACACATAGTTTTAAATAGTACAATTAAAAATTATTGAAATGTTACTTTTGAGCGTTTCACACTTTAAACTGTCAAACACCAAGCGGTCACCGGTGACCGCAACCTATTGTTCTATAATTGTGTCTACAAAACCGGTACTCGACGAGTTAAAATACAATGGACATGACAAAAAATATATAATTATGTTACACTTTTACATAAAACAAATACAAATATTGTTGGAGAAAGAACTGATTATTATTATTATTATAAACACCCCCTAGATACTTTCACAAACTTAAAATTAATATAAACAACTTATTAATTTTGTCACTTCAATAATTAACACTAAAATGTACACTCAGAGTGAATTATAATAATACTGGTTCAGGCAAAAGATGAAAATCTAGTTCCTAAGTTAATACCTAAGTCTAAGTCGGCAGGACGGATTACACTGTTGAGATGTGCTTACAACTAAAACTAGACTAATTTACATTGATTTATTTAAGACCTGAATGTTGACTAAAGAGGGCTAAAAGTTACATAGATTTTTCACATTCAAATATTAGATTTGATGAACACTAAGTTAAACTTTTACACTGCTAAGTTACTCTGTTTCAATGTAAACACCGTCTATAACTTTAATACTACTTAAAAATATAATAAGCGTAAGTTTTAAACGTAAACCGATACAGAAACTCGACACTTCCAAAGTAAAAATTTCGAAATCGGAAAACTTGAAGCGAATTAAACATTCAACAAAGTGGTAACGAGTATTACGGTACTTAAACTTAATAAATAAATATCCCTGTAGTTAATTCTAATTTGGCAAATAGCGGCTATGTGTGGTGCAACTTACTGCAGCAGTTCATATAGTGCGGAGATGTAGGTTTGTGCCATTTGAAGCGTCTCGTACTTGGAGAGCTGACGGTCAGCGCCCAGCGACGGGAGATGGCCTCGGAGCCTGTCGAAGGCCTTATTCAAGTTCTGCATCCTCCTCCTTTCCCTAGCATTGGCTGCTAGACGTCTCCTCCTCAACACTGCAGCACTAGTAGCTCGTCCACGCCTCTTCCCCGACTCCAGAACTTCATTATCTTCAGCACTGTCTTCCATAACATCTCGCGACAATCCTCTGTAGGCGATGTGTGATGAATCCTGGTTGATACTGCCGTCAATGGAAGGTGTCGGCTCAAGGCTGGACCTGCCCGAGTCAGGTGACCTCGGCCAGGACAAGTAGCACTCCTCAGTGGAGTACTCCAACATCACGTCAGACGCGAACATGTCTTTCTCGTAAATGAGTCGGTGTCCGTAAGTTTCGGCGGTCATTTTGGGTCACGGCGGCACAGGTGCGAACGGTTCGGTGTCCCACAGGGGTCTAAACTGCGCGGTTACCTGTGTTGCTTATATAGGGTCCAGGTTTGTGCGAAAAGGTTCGACGGGATAGGTTGTATGTGTGTGAGGGGGACACAAGAGGTCCCGAGAGGGTAATTTAAGGCCAATCATCATTAATTATTTGTTCCCCCGGGCGCTGTGTATTGTAGGTAGCGTTTGGTTGGCGACTCTATTCTACGGCACAATGCTTGTTGTAGCCTTGTAAGTATTCACGTATTGTGCATACAAATGTGTTACAAGTCAATTGCTGTAGTGGTTGTAGTTTTTTCAGTTGATGTATATTACAGTGGGTACTTTACCTTGTAGATTTTGAATGGAAGGGATATGAATTGGCATTAATTGTGTATTAATGTATATTATTACTGAAGTTAAATACAATTTATCGATATTTTAAAGGTTTCCTGAACGTTCACTTAAATATAGGTGGTCTATTTAAATAATTGGCATTTGAGTTGTAGTAGTATATTTATCGAACTTATCATTTAAAATGTATTTGTGTAAGTTTGAAGTAAGCTTACCTGCATAGAAACAATATTTGAAACCTTGATTTGAACAAGAATTTGCTCACTCGAATATGATGATTTGTTTCCGAGTTATGCACACAATTATGTATTAAATGTATTTTTTATGGATACCACATTACCTCTATCTTTTTTAACTATATAGAGGTATGTAGGCAGAGATTTTAAAACGCTAATTGCTACGATTCTTACATATATCTCTTTCGCTTCCTCAACAGTCATCAGTTTTTCATGCATGCTCGTCGGTTAAGTTATCTAATCTAGACTGCCGGGTAAGGGCTCTTGGGTTCGATTCCCGGGTCAGGCAAAGTATTACTGGGTTTTTAAAAAATTCGCAGTAGTAGGTCGAAGTCTAAAATTGTGCCCGGTATATGGCAATAGGCTCACCTCCTCATAGAGACTCATAACATAAATAGTGAAAAGTGGGTGTTACATTGTACAGTGGCATAATGTGCACCTCTGCCTACCCCTTCGGGGATAAAAGGCGTGATGTTATGTTATGTTAATCTTACTCCGAACATTAGGGACATCATAATCCAATATAAATTCCCGGATCATACAATGTTAATTCATGCCCAACCTGATGGAATACCAGGGCAGAGTGAACCAGTCACCACTCGACACCGTACCGACTCGGGAACCGAACCCGCGATACTTTTCACGAGATGCACCCACTGCTGGGTGAAATTCAAAACTGTCGTGTTGGTGGGCTGTTTGCACAGTGACGTGCGAAAGTTTGGATGCGGCATTCAACTACATTTGAAAGTAACAATGCAATGTTTTAAACTAAACATTTAAATGTTATAAATAGCATATCTAATTTATATAGTCGTTTCTAGTCTCATAACCCGATCCGTAATATTAATCTTAATTTGTTTATAGATTTCGTTTTCCAATTTCCAATTCAATTTCGTTAAAAACATCTACCCAATGTTACTGAAGTAGAATAATTCTTATTTGTACTTAGTTGTTTAAAATAACAGATTTAGTACATAGATTCACAAGTAATTATTTCTTAATTTCTCTGTGCCGTCACGTAGAGAATCAAGAGATTTCTGCTCCTAATTTTTGCAACATAAAAACAAAAAGTGCCACATCCATATTACCTACTATAGCGTCTCTTCGTCCTCGTAACCTCGGTGTGGTCCAATCACTTCCCTGAGCAGGTCTCCCGTACGCGAAATCAGTGTTTTAGAGGAAATACTGACATACTGATTTACTAACCTAGCTACTGGTAACTTAACCATCACTACATCATCATCAGGGTGCTTACTCTTGAAACCAATCTCAATTTCAATGCAATAAGAATAATTGCAAATAAATGCAAAGTCAATAATTATTCAATGTCACAACTATACAACCACTATCGCAACTGTTAAAATAGCATGCAGAATACAAAATATGATGCCAAACTCAATACCATTTAGTTCGTTCAATATCCACGCAACACGGATGCAATAGGCGCTAGTGTTGCAACTCCAGAGTACGAAATTTCACAATACCAATGTCGATCGATCGGAATTGGATTCAAGAGTAAGCTCCCTGGTCGATGACAGTCCACTATTGGAATATATAATTCTTTCTAATCAGCGGGTTTGCCATAACATTACGTATATTACGTATTTGTATATTTGTAGATGAATAGAAGATAGAATTTAAAAGTTCAGGGTTACCGGGTTGCACGGTTTAAGCGTTGCTCCCCGATCTCTGTCCCTTAAGTGACTCCTACCTCTTACGATAGGACATCCATATGAAGAGTATCGGTGGTTAGAAACAGACATTCATCGCACGGCTCTTTATTAAACAGAATTACGAATTCAAAGTCAAAGCATTTATTTTAATTAAACCTTAATTTGATACTTTTGAAACGTCAACTAATACAAAATAAATAATAGTCTGTCAGTCAGTCCGTCAGTGAACCTACCTGAGAAGAACGAGCAAGAAACTCCATTCGTTACTCTTTTTAAAGAAGTATGTTCTACAATGTCTCTGATACAAATCCCAATACTGTACGTATATGTGAGAACAATGCAAAGACACGCTTGACGCATTATAGGTAATTACAAACCTTACTAAAATAAAACAATTAAAAAATCCTATAGTCTAACATGGTGTTATGTAATTATCTACTACTCCTCAATTTTTTTTCCAATCCGGAAACCAAAGCATCAACCTAGTCAAGATTGTTATCGTCATATCTTATTCCTCTACCAATACTAATGTTGTCAACACCAATTAATATAAACAACTTGAACCTCTGCCTACCCCACAAAACGTCTTGAGTATACACCAATTCCCAAACCCCCGTGAGGTCAAGAACATTATTTTTTTCATCGATAATTTTACACGTGATTAACCCATTGCCGCGGCTCAGATTTCGCGACCCATAAAAAATGTTATGGGTCCAGTATACCCTTGTCTTTTTCTCTTAGTTAAGCTAAATTACTTAATCTGAATAGTTTACTTTATGGTTCTTAATTTGTTGGGATTACAATGTATGGAAATATAGGAATTTGTGATTAAACTGTTCGTTTAATTTTTGTCTAATATGTTGTTTTTATCCCCGATATTGTCACTTCTTTTTATACTTAGGAAACTTGAATGTAATCAAATAATTATTGGTTTATTATGTATCAGATTATATTGCTGACACCTGTTAACTGAAGGAGGAATTTATTCTTTAACTAAATAATCGAAAAAAGCAGTTCAGATAAGACAATATCGAAATACTTATTTTAGTCCCTTCCGATCAGTTCAGGAGGAAATTTCCTCAAAACGTTCGACCTACAAATTCAGACGATACGTTCCTTAACTTTTGATATCTTATTTCATTGTTTACCAGTATACAATAACAGATCGAAGGAAGAAACGTAACGGGACACCGGATCAAGTTGACTGTGAAAAATTTTGACAACAAAAAAGATAGAAAAAAAGTAAAAAGAAATGGTTTTCGGTAACGGTACCTCAGTGGCAAGGGTTGGTCCCGTTACCGAACCTTCGTTCCGGAGTTCACTTCCGATTTGACTTTTAGATATAATTAGTGATTAACTTCCAAACGGTATCCGTTTGAAGTTAAATCTTGAACCGGGTTTTATTTACGAGGGTGCATGGGCTTTCGTTGTTATACACAGACATAAGTACTATAAATGGCAACATCGTTTTTAAAGGGTTGCTTACGTACCGGATTTTGTTTCGATAAAAATTAAAACTCACACAAGAGTCCTGTTGAATGTCAGTAGTTGACTATCGAGTCAAATTAGGACCTACATACCTTTGTCGCTTTGTAAATCAGCTCAAACCAACTTTCTGTTCTTTAACCATGGAAAAAACAAGGATAATAAATTGAACATTTTGTACACGATACACTACGAACTCTTTCTACCATTATACACTAATAAAATAATAAGCAAAATGAACGTAACTCTAAAACAACTTAATTTATAAACCGTTCCGTTTACTTAGTGTGTGGGCTAACCTTAACAATCCTTGATTGATAACATTTGCATAATTTTATAACTAAATTACAATAATATTTATTGGTACAGAAGCCAATACAATATCCCAACCTTTAATGCAATGCAATAAAGTTTAAAATCCATAAAGCAAGAAATTTTAGTATGGACTTAAATAAATAAATGGGTCAAATTTGCCCCCTACGCGGTTTAGGGTTATGCTTAAAAATGTAATGTTATTTATTAGAGCTAATCAATCCGTTGTAGATGAAGACATTATGATATTTATCAAATTAGATAATGCTTTGTTCTTATTTGTGTTGCAGAAAAAATCTAGGTACTGTTTTTTGCTGTAGTAGGTAGAATCCTTCTTAGAGATTGTTGTGAGAATGTTGATTTTTGATTATTCAATAGCACTCACTTAAACTGTCAAATACCAAGCGGTCACCAGTGACCGCAACCTATTTTTCTATAATGACGATACTCGACGAGTTAAAACTGTTTGCGGGGTTTTTTTTTATAAAAACATTGCCCCACACTAAGTTTTTATCTTATTACGTGGGTGCGTTTACAAACATACAAATTCACATACACATGACACCGGAACAATAATTTGTGTATCACACAAAGTGTTGTTCCGTTCGGGAATCGAACCCGCGACTCGCTGCACGGCAGCCGATTGTCCAGCCACCGCATCTACGGTGTGGTCTGGTTTGTAAGTAAGTTGTCAGCTATCACAAATTAAGATAAAAAATAGAACTAGTAAACTAGATGTATATACTTCCCTACCCCTTCTTCTAATAGTGCACTGGAATATTTTATTCTATATCTACAACTTAACACAAAATGTTTATCAAAAATATTTGATTATTTTTGAAATCGCTACCCCACACGACATCAAAGTGACATAGACAAACACACCATTAATCAAATCCAGCATAAACCACACAGGGTGACAGAAAACAGGAAATCAAAATCCATAGACAAACGGA